AGAATGTGCCGATGCCAAAGATCACCTTGAGTCCGACCGACTCACCCTTGGCCTTGTAACTCTTGCACTTGTCAATATTCAAGGAGTCGGAAAAACAGATTGTCTTGGAGTTTTTGGGGTATCCCAATTTCTCGAAATGGCTGGCAATCTTCTCAGCGTACAATTCTGGGTCGCCAGAGTCCTGTCTCACGCCAGCGTAAAGGTCGGTGTAAGGCTTCTCAAAAACCCGCAAGTAGGAGTCAGTGCCGAAAGTGTCTGTAAGAGCAAGGCCAGCCGAGTTGGGGAAAGTCTTGACCCAGTAGTCCATGGCAACCTGGTTGGCATTGGGGTAGTCTTGAGTGATTGAAGCGACACCCATGAACCACTCGTGCGCAACGGTTCCAATTGGAGGAACCTTGTACTTTTTAGCCAAATAGACGTTGGATGTACCAGAAAAGAAACGGCCATTGGGCAGGAGCTTGGCGATCTTGACAAGGCTGGCGACCACAAGATCTTGGGTCTTGAACGATCTTCTTCTTCTAGTACCAAACTCGCTAAACACACATTCGGCATTAAGTAAGGCTTCTCCCTTGTCAGCAGCAAGAGCCTCCTGGCCCTCGTAGTCCCAATCTGTATCAACGAACTTGAAGTAAGCCTCAGACACAAGGGCCAAGATGGGGATCTCGTACAAAATGGTTTCAAACCATGAACCTGAGACAGTCAACTCGAAGTTCTCAAAGTCACTCTCGTCATTGGCGTAGATTACTTGCTCTGCAGGGTTCAACTTGAAATCCTTCAAGGCAGCAATGTAGTCGCTGGGGAGCACCGAAATGCTCTCCCTCATGTACCTCAACTCATCCTCAGTAAACCTCAATTCACCCAAAAGGGTAATCTGAGCTTTCAACCAGTCAATGGCTTCCTTGTTCAACACCATCTGTGGCGTTCTGTTGGTGTACTTATATTTCACCGGCACATCCTTAAAGTGCTGGAACACTGCCGCTTGCATCGAGAGCTTATACAAGTCTGTGTCCAAAAGGGACGGGATAGCTGGCTCCACCATGACGGTCTTAGATATGAAAGATTGTGAAAGAAGTAAATGACTCAGCAGTTGGTTATCTGGAGCGATTGATCTCTGCTGCCTCCGTGCACCACCGGAAAGAAGCACTCGAGGTCGGACCCGATTACGAGGTTCATTACGAGGCGCGCTAAAAAATAATCCCTAACTAACAGCAGGAAGATGAAATTGAAAAAAATAATGACTCCGGCGTGATTCGAACACGCGCATCTTACGATAACAGAACTTGAGTCTGCCGCCTTAGACCGCTCGGCCACAGAGCCATTGTTGAAGTGTCAAAAATGCTGCTTTTATATATTGCAGTAAATGAAGCTTTAACGAAAAGTTGCCGATTTGAATATATACTCAGGTTTATTTGGATCCTCTCATTTCTCATGCAAATTTTCAGCGCCGTAGCACCAAAATTGAGAGAGATAGCTTCTATTACCCTCAGAGCTGGATTTTTGTGCATTTTTCATTGATAGTCATAAACCTCGCTCGATTATCTATCCTTTGAACCTATTCTCTGATCATTGCATGGCTAACTCGGCCCACTCTTTGGTGGTTGCAAAATGTCCCATAGTGAGAACCCGCACCCAAAAACACTCCCTCTCATTCCCAGATGTCTCACATTCATTCAAATGGCTCTTACTTATTCATTTTGAGAAGCAAAACCCTTCAAAAAAGCCCTTTTAATAAATCTCTCCCCCAACTGGCTCGACCAGGGTTCAGTGTACCTGCGGATGGTTTGCAGCCACGGAATGTGTCGCTATTGTTTCCATCAATGGCTGCGAAAATCCAATTGTTGGGCTTTCAGTATTCCACTTTCTAGAAGCTTACTTACATCGTCGGCTCTCTTCGAATACAGAAAGCGGAGTGCAAAAAATACACTTGTCTATGAACCAAAATTGTGCTGGTGCATACTGCAGCGATTCTCCGAACCCCGTGATCGTGTTTCAGGTTGGATCCCGGTGGACTTTCCTCGAATGGCATGACACCAACAGGTGACGACGATTTGCAATTTTATTAATATTCTACCATCTAATATACGTCATTTCGTTCGTGACCCAGGGTGCTCGTCACGAGCCGAATCGAGCCACCCTCAAATGGACGGTTGCAATTTTTCACGAAGTCCGTCGAGGACCCCCACGTTCCAAAAAAAAACGCCAAAATTTCTTGCATATTTCCTCGTTTCAGCCAATCATGACGCCGGAATTCGTGGCTTGACGTGCTAGGTCGCTTCGGTGTCAAAGCCGCTGCAGTAACGCTGTGTCGTGTTGCAAAATGAGCCCCACGCCGGTGTCACAAAGCCTGGGGTAAGGCTACAAAAAACGTGGGAAACAACGAGATTGCAAAATTATTCTTTCACAAAATATTCAAAACACCTTTTTGATTTTGTACATCATATCATAAAAAAAAAAAATCTTATTCTGTTACATGGCCCACGCCGACATGGCTTGCGGGCTAGTTTGGCCATTCACGAAACGCGGCCAGACAAATAAATAAAGCGCCATGTTGCAGCCCAGACCCGGAATACCTCACTTCCGCCCACACCTCAACACATTTTTACGACAGACGCAAGAGAAAAAAAAAATTAGGCAATTACAAGTATGGAATTAAAGTATCAATGCAAGTTTTCCGGCTATTTTCTTAGCCCAAATTAGGTACCCCTCCAAACAGCAACCGGACGGGCATGTAGGGTTCCAAAAAAAGCAGGGCGGGCCATGAGCTTCGGTGCGCATAAACCTCTCCATTTATATACCCACCAGGATCCCTCATACCACCTCCAGCTCTTTCGCAATGAAGAAACACACCAAGACTCAATCGACATATGTATGTAAAATGGGAGAAACTTTCCTCAATTCTTGCTAACAACAGGCCTTTGACAACACCGCTACCACTGTGGCTGCGTCTCAGATGCGTAATGCCTTGAACAACTTGGCTGACACTGTCTCTGAAAAAGAGCACCAGCAGAGATTCGAGACCGAGATGGACTCGTTCTTTGCTTTGTTCAGAAGATACTTGACCGATAAGGCCTCGGGCTCCACCTTGGACTGGGACAAGATCAAGTCTCCATCTCCTAGCGAGGTGGTCCAGTACAACGCGTTGAAGGAAGCGCCAGAGAAGGTCACCGAGGGCTTGTCCAAGTTGGCCGTTTTGAAGTTGAACGGTGGTTTGGGAACTTCCATGGGCTGTGTGGGTCCAAAGTCCGTCATTGAGGTCAGAGACGGCAACACCTTCTTGGACTTGTCCGTGAGACAGATTGAGCACTTGAACAGAAAGTACGACACCGACGTGCCTCTTCTTTTGATGAACTCCTTCAACACCGACGCCGACACCGCCAAGATCATCAAGAAGTACCAGGGCCACAGAATCAGAGTCAGAACCTTCAACCAGTCCCGTTTCCCCAGAATCTTCAAGGACTCCTTGTTGCCTGTGCCAGACTCGTTTGACGACGACTTGAACTGCTGGTACCCTCCAGGACACGGTGACTTGTTCGAGAGTTTGGTCTCCTCTGGTGAATTGGACTCTCTCTTGGCCCAGGGCAGAGAAATCTTGTTCGTCTCCAACGGTGACAACTTGGGTGCCACCGTCGACACTGAGATCTTGAACCACATGATCGAGTCTGGTGCCGAGTACATCATGGAATTGACCGATAAGACCAGAGCCGATGTCAAGGGTGGTACTTTGATCAACTACGAAGGCCAGGTGAGATTGTTGGAGATCGCTCAGGTGCCAAAGGAGCACGTTGAGGAATTCAAGAGTATCAAGAAGTTCAAGTACTTCAACACCAACAACTTGTGGATCAACTTGCGTGCCGTGAAGAGATTGGTCGAGTCTAATGCTATCGAGTCTGAGATCATCCCTAACCAGAAGACCATCTCTAAGGGCTCCTCTGACATCAACGTCTTGCAGCTTGAAACTGCTGTTGGTGCCGCTATCAGACACTTTGGCGGTGCTCACGGTGTTGTTGTCCCCAGATCCAGATTCTTGCCAGTCAAGACCTGTTCCGACTTGTTGTTGGTCAAGTCCGACTTGTTCTTCCTCGAGCACGGTGCATTGAAATTGGACCCAACCAGAGACGGTTTCTCTAACCCATTGATCAAGTTGGGTTCGTATTTCAAGAAGGTCAACGACTTCCAGAAGAGAATCCCACACATGCCAAAGATCTTGGAGTTGGACCACTTGACCATCACAGGTAACGTCAACCTTGGCAGAAATGTCACCTTGAAGGGCACTGTCATCATTGTTGTCAACGATGGTGAGTCCATTGACATTCCAAACGGAGCAGTCTTGGAAAATGTTGTCATCACTGGAAACTTGCGCATTTTGGAGCACTAATCAAGTACTTTAATCAAAACTCATCATTCTTTTTTAATATGCTTTCTTGTAGGTGTAGTTCTCCCGGTAATTTCGTGATTTGCAGAGAAACCGAAGTCCAACTTATATCTTCAAAAAGTTAGTTTTTGCAAAAATTGGTTTATCTCGGCTTCCAGAGGTGCTACGTGGCTCTACTTCAGTCATCGGTGACCTCTTTCAATTCTCAATACAGCCAGATATTCAAAATTTGTATTTTTTGAGTTTTTGCACTACCCATTTCAGATCTGCATATAATTTACCAGCAAGAGATCCTTACATCAGTTGGCTCTGTGGCCGAGCGGTCTAAGGCGGCAGACTCAAGTTCTGTTATCGTAAGATGCGCGTGTTCGAATCACGCCGGAGTCACTATTTTTTTGAATATTCAAAGGAGACTTAGTATCGCTGTATGTTGTATCATACTCAAGTCAAAATTTATATTTCTTGTGGTCGGCTGTAGGCTCGAAGGGACTACAAGTTGAGTCGAGGGCTCACTAGGCCGTTTTAAATTGTGAAAAACTATCTGCTATATTATTTGTCGTTTGGTGGTCTTTGTCGTTTATTGCTAGTTATTAGACTATACGTTGTGATGTTACTAACAGGTTGTACGTCAATGAAGTCTGGATAGATACTTCGGGTCTCGTCTAACGTCGAAACCTGGGAAATTGATTTCTTTGAAATCTCCACCGCTGTTGATGATATCATAACATCTGAGGATACCATCTCTGACGAGCAATTGCCAATAAGGACGTCTGTCATGAAAGATCACATAAAACAAGTACCTAGCTGTGCTACTGGTATCGTAATCATACACGATGATACTTGCGTACTCCTCATGATCTAGTCTTAAAGCCCTTCTATAATCTGTAAGTTCACCGATCCATATTTCTGAGGAAGGTGTGGGTAGGTCTGGTTCTTCATATCCCATTCTGTTTTTGCCATCGGTTCTCATATTCGCAACCATTTTCCAGACTTGAATAGTACATGCATATTATATGCAGTCCATTGTGCCTCGAGGCCTTTGGTCCACATAGTTGGCGTTTGAGACCACTTTTTTATATGCAGTTACAGTGGCCGAGTGGTTAAGGCGACACCCTGCTATTCCGCAGCTTAGGTGTTGGGCATTGCCTGCGCAGGTTCGAATCCTGTCTGTGACGTTATTTTTTGCAACCATTAAACCATTTATTGATATCTACTCGTATGAACCCATGTTCGAGGATTGTTGATGTGATGACAGTAGCCAAATCTCGATCAATGCATTGTACCACGTCTTTTTAGGCTCAACTATCTCAGTAACGAGCCCTCTCAACGGCAGATTAGTGCTACCCAAGATGTCGTAGGCACACCAATAATCATCCAGAGACCCAAACAGACCTTTCCGATTCCAAGGTAGTTCGGGAAATCCCTCTTTGTTGAATTGTCTCGTTTCAACCGCCACCGGTCTGAGAACGGTTTCAAGTCGAAGTGGGTTTCTCTTAAGAAACGCCTTGTGTATGGTGTCATCCACTTCAGGATCAATAGGGTCTTTGCTCACTTTGATCAGGTATTTTTCTCTCAATGCTTTGTCAAATTCGGGAAGCACTCGGTTCTCGATTTGATGTGTGGTGACATAAAGAAGATTAATATCATCCTTGTCGGATACTTGTGCCCATGAGCTGGAGCACAATTCTTTGGTGGGGATACCAAGCTGCACGTTCTCTGGGGGTGTTAAGATACCAGCAACCGAGGCGAAATGAGCATTGAAGGGAACATACTCGATGTTTCCGGTGAGTTCTTGGCCAAGCCATAAGCTCTCAAAATTACTCTCCAGAAAGTCGTACTTGGAGCTAATGACGGGATAGTATTGAAGCGCTGTGGATATGAGAAGTCCTGGAAGTGCCTTCAGTTTGTCGACCACAAACATAGATGTGTCAATGAGCTGTGGATAGCTTTCGTGTCTAACCCTTTTTGTATAAGTATTTCTAGCACGCTTCAAACCGAACAGATGAGTCTCATTCGCTCCCACATCGGCCATGCCGTTGATGAGGTCGTTTGTCTCAAAGTAGCCTCCTGGGTAACGGCTCAATCTTTGTTCGAAAACTGCTCGGCTTTTGAAGAACTTCACGCCGAATTGTTTAAGGTCAGGGTCAGAAAGAGCGGCAGAAAGGTCTCCAGTAAGCGGAATAGTCTGCGTAGATAACACTATGGCTCTCTCGAAGGAGCTGAGCAACGGAGAAAGGGTCATCATCAATGCATCGGAACTCTTGTAGAAGGCTTTTGTGATAGCACGCTGCAAATAGACAAACCTCACTTCCTGGGCTGGCAAAGTCACTTCGTTGATACCTTCGTCGGACATGAACTTTTCGAACGAGGCAGGTAACTTCATATCTGCTCTTTTGGCGGCCAGCATGATGTCTAGTTTTAGGTCCTTTCTGACAGCAACATCGTCCATAAGAACGATCTCGATAGGCAATGTGTTGTTGACCGCTCTGAGCACCTTGATAAGTCTAATGGCTCGAACAAGCTGCTGGCTTCGAGAGGGATTGGGTAGTATGGGAATCACGATACCGTCCCCATCACCTTTACGCATAAGTTGCTTTGTTAAACACTCGTTATCATGTGTGGAAGCCGTCTGGGGCTTCTTACCGTCGTAATCGATTCTGGGAAGCTCACCCAGAAGAAAAGGGTAGAGTTGAGATGAAGCCTGATCACAGCCCTTTGCGTGTTTTGAGGCATAAGTATTATCCTCCAAGAAGCACTTTCCAAAGGCCCTCATGTGAGCCATGTCATTGACAAACCCCTCCTCGAACCTGCTGTGTTTGGCTGCCTTCTCGTAAAACTTCTCCATAAGCAAAGCCTCATAGTTTTCCTCGAATCTTTGGTGTTTTCTCCGAGTCTCCTTTCTATAAATCCTTCCCGCTTCCCGTAGCCATTTTGTTTTCTTGAAGAGAAGGCCATCATGCTGAAACTTTGCCTGCTGTTCCAATGGGATTCTCTGCAATTTGTCAAAATAGCCAAAATAGGCCTTGCAGTTGCTTTCAAGGTCTTGATCCTTTGGTTTCCATTTGGAGTATATGGGATTGACGTAACGGTCTCTGCGAGCTGTAACCTCCAATTTCTCGATTATTTGCGGAGCTTGAGGCCTGTCATATCTTGTAAATGCAATCAACGCTAGTAGTAACAATGCTATTAGTATTAGGCGTTTTTTGATTCGAAACATTTCTTGGCCATGGATAAACTATCAGAACTTAGATTTCCTGGGGCGCGAGCGTTGTATACACCGAGAAGCCGAGCGTTATCACTATTTACTTTGCACACCTATAGAGGAAACGTAAAATAGGCGCCGTACTAGAGTTCGTTTCTATTAAGTGAATTTGATATTTCCGGTACCAAAAGGGTGTCAATTCCTTTCCCTTGTTAAATGTTGTACAGTGAAGGGGTCCAGAGTGAAAAGTGTGGCAACCAAACAGCCTCTATTGCATAAATTGACTCTTCAGCTTCTTAGTAACCCTCCCATAGCTCCACCTCCCTAATCCATGGAGAGGTTCCTGAGGTCCTCGTTGATCCCTGACTTGTCGGGCTCTGCTTTCAGCTCTCCAGTCTCTGATTTCTTATCATCCTTATCCTGCTTCTCCTTCTGGTTACCAGCACTAGTCGGAGTCATGATCTGATTGCTGAAGCCTGGAGCGACCTTCCTCTGTACGCTTTTGAGCCAATCCTGGTACTTCTTAACAGCCGCTTTCTCTGCTTCTGTGTCAAAGTGGTCCTTTTTGAAATCCTCGATTTCCTTACCCCAAGACTCAACGTCAGCTTCCGTTATGTTCAATTTGGGCGGCACCACGCTGTTGGGTAGGTTGGGGATCAACTTGGCATAGTTGGTATTGAGAGACACGGGTTTGGGGGGCTGGAAAGCCGGATTTTTTAGTAAAGGCACCTGCTGGAGGAAGGGATCAGCTTTTTGTTAGTCAATGTATCAAAACAAGTCATGGGGCTCTCTTAACGTACGCTTATCGGTGTCATCCATGGTGGTAGTTGAGATGTAGTAATAGTCGCACTAGTATAATACCCACCCATGCAAATGAGGTACCCAAACAACCAAACACCCACAATTACCTAAATCTACATTTGATCACGTTATTCGTATATATAGTACACGGCTCCTGGAGCCCATATGCATTGGCCACAGCCATTAGTTGTCCTTGTAGTGACGGATCAAGATGTATGCATTTTCCTGCTTCAAGTTCGACAACGAACGGTAGCCTCCCTCCAAACGCATCAACAAACCGCCGAAAGAAATGTAAACAGCCATCTTGTCGTTGTCCTGGCTCTCCTCGAACTTGTAGACGGTACCGAACATGACGTAGTCGTAATCGTCAGCCAATGAGCGGTCGCCTCTCTTTGGTGGTCTCCACGAACCGTTGGACGTGATCATGGAATCCTCGTTACCCAAGGAAGAAGCCAATGTGATCGTCAACGAATCGCTCTCCTTGACTGGGAACAACTCGCTGTTGATGTCCAAGGTGATCTTGATATCCTGAGCCGTCGAGGACTGACCTTCTATACGGCTGACCTTGTTGTATCTGGCGTTGTCGACAGAGTCGACGTTGAACATATCCTCAAACAAGATCCCGGACATGGCGATGTGGTTAGCTTGGTTTAATGAGCTTCGGTTGAGGTTTTTTTCGATGGGCAGAAGATTGAGATCACGTGCCGCGTCACGTGCAGAATCTCGCCCTTTTTGTTTCTAAATTAACCTGTAGGGGCATTACCAGATCTGATCACTTCGCCTCAGTATACTACAACTGGTTTCTCCTTCTAGCACACAAAAAATGGAGAAGCACGAGGAAGAGGTTAAGCCCTCTCAGGAACAACAGGCCACGCCGCTCTCGGTGTTGCCTTCCATTTTCACATATTTGACGGTGCTTCTTGGCCTTCTTGGAGCCGTCATTTACTTCTGTGGTTTCGAAGCTTTCCAGGAAGGTCCATTTGTTCTTTACGAGCTTTTGGCCGAGAAATTCTTGGGTCAGGAGTCTAGCAGCCACCTTGTCAAAAGAAAAGAGTTTATTGAACTGATTGGTTTCCGTGTTTTGGTCGGCATCGGTGTGTTTGCTGTCTTGAACATTATCGTGATTGTGGTCCACCACGTCGTCCAAAAAATTGCCAGGTCTACGAACTCCTACAAGACCGTGGACCATGTCATCTCCCCCTTCTAGGCATGCATTTACCGTCACGAGACCATCGATAATGGTTTCACCACTTCACTTCTTCGGAGAGGACAGTAAAGGGCAGAAAACGCTTGTTCTGGGTTGTCACTCCAAATTACTCCCCATATGGAACACCGCATGGGAGCTTCCACCGGTTTATATCGAAAAATGCTACGTTATGCATGAGCAGCACTCACCTGTTCAATGGTTCGCTAACCTATCTCTCTGAGTCCTTCGTAGTCAAGCACAACAATGAAAGAATTGGCTTTCTTACGTTTAAGTTTCCCGACGCAGGTACCCAAGATTGCTCCCGGGCACATTTCGTCTAACTTTCCAGATATGCCAGTGCAGGTTGCTCGCTATCTAAGGGCATTCTTTATCTATAGATATCTCGCAGCTTTTCCTCATCACCTACACCATATGCTGAATTCCACACCTAAGCGCTTGGTCCAAGTGACCTGTGCTATTCTATGGTGTCTTCTTGCTGCGGGCCCTGTGTTTGGTTTTGCTGCTTTGAAACCAGTTCTTATTGCTCAAGGCGTTTACCTGGATAAGTGTGATATCTCCACTAAAGATAGCCAGATTCCATGTTCAGAACAAGATTTGGCATTGAACTTGTTGTTCACCGTTGCATGTATGGTGACCAACATCTCCGCTTTACCTGTGGGCTTTATTTTGGATAGCTATGGTCCTAAGACCACAGGCATCATCGGATCCATGATATTGTTGCTTGCATCAATTGCAATGATTTACGCCCCAAGCACTGACTTCGTTGACCTTTATCTCACGAGTTATACCATGATGGCATTGGGTGGACCATTCGTCTTCATCTCATGCTTTCAGTTGGCAAACTCGTTTCCTAAAAACTCGGGCCTCATTTTGGCCTTGCTTACTGGAGCTTTCGATACCTCCTCGGCTCTTTTTTTGGGCTACAGAGTCATTTACACAAATTACTTTGAGTTGCCCGTGTCGAGCTTTTTCACGTATTACCTAGTCGTGCCTGTCTTCATCTTTGTCTGTCAGCTTACCATCATGCCAACCACTTCATACAAGACAGTGGGAACCTTAGCCAAAATAGCCCAGACATCAATTGATGAGACTGGTCGTCCTTTGGATAAGAGTAAGCTTTTAGCTATGGATAGAGACGCAGTGCCTGAACCAGTTGAGCAGCCCAATATGTCCGAAACAACAAGCTTGTTGATGAGAAGAGCATCGTTTGGTGTTCAGGAGAGCGATAGGAGAAGAGGACTGACAGTGTCAAGAGCCTCTAGGTCCTCTGTCAAATCAGTTTATGAGCAGGACGCTGAAGACAAGCTCTACGAGTCCACTGGTGGTGTCTTTGGTATATTGCACGGATACAGTGTGGACGAGCAAATAAGGTCTCCGTGGTTTTACTTGATGGTCATTTTTACCACTATTCAAATGCTTCGAATCAACTATTTCGTTGCCACAATTCGGGCCCAAGAACTCTACTTATATGATGGAGACCAGGAGCTTGCGTCCCGCATCAACCACTTTTTCGACATTGCCTTGCCATTAGGTGGTCTTGTTGCTATTCCTTTCATTGGCCTCATCCTTGACAGATTGAAGACCCTTTCGGTCTTGTGGATTCTCTCTATTGTATCCGTTTCTGTGGGTATACTAGGTCTTGTTTCATGGCTTCCGGGCACCTACGCAGGGATCATCTTGCTTGTGGTATACAGACCATTTTATTATACGGCCGTCTCTGACTTTTGTGCCAAGGTTTTCGGCTTTGAAACGTTTGGTACCGTCTATGGTACCATCATTTGCATTTCTGGCATCTGCAACATCTTCCAGCAGCTTTTGGACCGCATCACGCACTCCATGTTCAATATGAACCCCGGTCCAGTTAATTCTATTTTGACAGTGTTGACTATAGTGTTTGCTTTTGCCATGATCTTCTTTGTCAGATCTCAAGAGATGGAGATGAAGAGAAGAAATCTAGAGTTGGAGGCGCAAAACGCATCTACTCTGTTGATTCCCCATTAAAGATATATATTCATAAGCAAACTATTCATGTCTCCGTTTGGACTTCCTGAGTCTCTTAGCTTCGTCTGCCACTGCGTCGGGATCCAAAGCACGAAGATCCTGAGCAAACACCTCCGTTGTCTGCTTATACTGTGAATCCCTATCTTCAGATTTCACACCAGCTATATTCACTGAACCTCTGCATTCGACATTTCCTAGATCTTGAGGCTCTTCCTGCTCAGCTATATTAGACTGAGGGATTGCACTTAAAACATCCGCTTTCGACATTATTTCTTCTCCTGCTCCTTCTTCTTCTTTTCTTCCTTCTCGACTTCTCTTCTGGATCCCTTGATGAGTTCCAAGTGACCGACCCTACTAGCAATCAACTTTTCCGTTCCAGCCAGACCACTAAGAGACTTCAGGAGCTTGAACGCTTGTTTAGCAGATGCCTTCTTGGGTTTGATGATCTTCGGAGCCGAAGAGCGGGGGTTTTGTTGTTTCTTGGTAACTCTGGCCTTTGCCTTTGACTTGAGCTTAAGATTACCCTGGGCCATCAAGAAGAGAGTGGTTGTAGTCTGTAGATGCCTCTGCAGGAGTGATGAGGTGAACCACACCGGTTGCAAAATCGAGGCGGTTACCAAGTTTAATGGAAATGGAGTGATACAGAAAAACAGACAGTCTTAGAGATTTTTTGATAAAACGAGAATGGACTTGTTGATATAAAAATTACATTGCTTAAGAGGTATTTGTCTGGAACCTCTTCCAACCCGTCTCAATGGCTAGGGAAGAGATAAGTACTTTAGAACCGTTTTTATGCTTTCATCAAATAACATCACTTGTCTGGCTACAAAAATTCATCGATTTTATTGAGTTTCATAAAAACATCTAGAATGTGAGCAGACTACTTATCTTATACCCTGTGCGCATTAGCCGTTAATTAGGCACAGAGACTAATTAGAGGAGTCAAGCACCACTATAACCACGGTTACGAAAATTGTCCCATAAACACAAGATCCCTATTTCGTAACAAAACACCAAAGTAACAATCACCATGAAATCACCTCCCTCTCCAATCTCTATCTCACTTTCCAACCCACGGACCACCTCAGAGTTATGACTCCGTTTCGCGACATATCAAATTTCAAAGGCTCATCTCTGCACTGCAAGCTGATCCCATCTTCCTGATCTCTTCAGGCTACGTCCTTACACCCAAAGGGCCAATTTCTATGAGCGATTTTCTCATCTTGCCAGGGCCCCAGGCCTTGTCCAAATTCAGAGTCTCCAACTTGGTGCAAGAGTTGGAGAAGAACTTGAACCAGCAGGGCGTCATCGCCAGTGTTTCTTCAGCCTACACCCACTATGTGTCATTGAAGGAGCCCTTGACGCCTGCGCAGACCAAGTTGACGGAGATTTTGTTGACCTACGACTCCCCAGCCGACTTGTCCATTGAGGCCAACGAGACCTTGCAGAAGTTGGTCGTTGTGTCTGGAGACGATAACACCGCTTTTGCCGGCTTGAACGAGTCCAATGTGCTTGTCAGAGTTTTGCCTAGACCAGGAACCATTTCCCCATGGTCTTCTAAAGCCACCGACATTGCCAACATTGTTGGTTTGGGCGACAAGATCGAGAGAATTGAGAGAGGCATCTCCCTCTTGATTTCTGCCACTGAGGGTTTCGACTTGTTGGGTGCCTTGAACACCCGTGGCGGCGAGATCTTGACTTCTGTTTTCGACAGAATGACCCAGCAGCTCTACATCAACGAGAATGCTCCAAAGCACGACGACTTGTTTGCCCACCACCAGCCCAAGCCTTTGGTCCATGTGGACATCACCTCTTCTCCAGACAACTTGGTGAAGGCCAACACCGACCTCGGTTTGGCGCTTGACAAGGGCGAGATCGACTACTTGATCAACGCTTTCACCAAGGTGATCGGCAGAGACCCCACCGATGTGGAGCTTTTCATGTTCGCTCAGGTCAACTCCGAACACTGCAGACACAAGATCTTCAATGCCGACTGGACCATTGACGGCGTCAAGAAGGATTTGTCGTTGTTCAAGATGATCAGAAACACCCACAACAAGTACCCTCAGTACACCGTTTCTGCTTACTCTGACAATGCTGCTGTGTTTGAGGGTCCTAACGGTTACCTCTTCACTCCAGACTTCAAGACCAAGGAGTGGAAGTCGATCAAGGAGAATGTCTTCACTTTGGTGAAGGTTGAGACTCACAACCACCCTACCGCTGTTTCTCCCTTCCCTGGTGCTGCCACCGGTTCTGGTGGTGAAATCAGAGATGAAGGTGCTGTTGGTCGTGGTTCCAAGTCCAAGGCCGGTTTGTCTGGATTCTCTGTTTCTGACTTGAACATCCCCACTTTGCCCCAGCCTTGGGAGCGTGACATTGGTAAGCCCAAGCACATTGCCTCTGCTTTGGATATCATGGTCGA